ATTAAAAATATTTGATTTTCTAGTCAGAGTTCACTTCAGAGTTCACAACGATTAGCATAAAATTTTGAATGTTTTTTCTTCTTCTTCTCGCACTCTCTGCTAAGCACACACACAACTACTCTCTCTCTCTCTCTCTCGCTCGCACACACACACACAACAGAACAAGAAAAAAAAATATAAAAAAAATTTATTCTTTTCACTCGATTGATTGAAAATCATTTTTTGGGTTATTTGTTTTCTGTAAGATTTCATTTCATTTCATTTCGCATTTTCTTTGTGCATTTCGCATTGCTCAATTATCAGTTTGTACTCTCGTTATAAAAAAAAGGAAACTAATTTGATTAGGTGCTCGGCTCCGACTCCGGCTCCAACTCCGGCTCCGGCTCCAACTCCGGCTCCGAGTCCAGCTCCATGTCCAGGGCACGGCGCGCCTTGCGCAGCGCAAAGCGTCGATTCTGATGCACCAGATCGAAGTACGGCTGGAAGTCGCCGTAGGAGACGAAGCGCGCGTCACCAAACACCGGCTGCACGTGGCGCGAGACGCCGGGCTCGTCATCGTCGCCCACAATGATGAACTCCTGCTCGGCTGGGGCTGGGCCAGCATTGGCCATTGGCATCTCGGCGGCGGCTACGGGCATCGCCTCGGCCATTGGCTTCTCGGGCTGCTCCTTCGGCGCGTCCGAGGACGCTTGGGCCGGGGTTGTCTTCTCGCCGTTGTCCATGGCGGGCGCCTTCTCCACAATCGTGCCCGGGCGAATGCGCGTGGGCAGCAGGCCGTTTCCGGCGCCAGCCTGAGCCGGCTTGGCGGTGATCAGCACCGGCTTGGGCTTGGGCTTGGGCTTGCCGCTCGAGGCGGGGGTGGAGCCGGTGCGCGAGGGCGGAATCTGCGGCGGCTGGAAGATGTCCATGAGCGAGGCGTCGGCCAGCAGAGGCACTGCAGCTGCTGTCAAGGTCGGACGCCKGCGCTTCTTCTGCTGCTGCTGCTGCTGCTGTCCAGTGGCAGTGATGCTGCTGATGGCGCTCTCGGGTATGTTGAGGATCAGGGGCTGGGCCTGGAGGCCCTCGGCCAGCGAGACCACCGACTGGCGGTCCGGCGCGGAGAGGCCCAGCTGGCTCCAGGGTATCGTGATGTACTGGGTGGGGCGGCCCTTGCGGCGCAGCGGCACGGTGAGCGGCGGCTGCGGGTAGGGGCTGAGGGGCACGCGCTGCTTCTGCACCTTGCTGGCCGTGGCCACGTAGCCATAGCCGGGATAGTTGGGGCTCAGGCCGAGCAGCTCGGGCGCCACATAGACCGTCTGGCCGTTGCGATTCACCAGCAGCGTCGCCTGCTGCGGGCGACGGACGCCGGCTCTGGAGGCTGGGCGGCTCTGGGTGGCCTGCGATTGCCGGAACTTGCTGCCGATCTCGGCGGGCGTCTGTCCGAAGGTGAATCTGCGTATCTGGTTGATCAGATTCTGTTGGCTGCTCTGAATGAAGCCGGGCTGGCTCTGAGAACGGCGCGAGGCCTGATTGTTATAGATGACCGGCTCGAAGGTCTCCTCGGTGTCGCTGTCATCGTCATCCTCCAGCTCCACTTCCGCGTCCGCATCGTCCTCCTCCTCGTCGTCGGCCTGCTCCAGCAACGCCAGCGGCTGGCCACGCCTGATCTGTGACGTCTGCTGGCGCTGCTGCTGCTGCTGCTGCTGCTGTAGCTGCTGTAGCTGCTGCTGCTGCTTGCGTCGCACCACCGGCGTCTGGGCGGGTCGGCGGCGTTGCTTGGGCTTTTGCTTTTGCTTTTGCGGCTGCTCCTCAGCGGACTGCTGATCCAGCTGCTCCTCCTCCTCATCCTCGTCGTCGTCGTTTTGCTCCAGCGACTGGTCCTCGTCGTCGTTCTGCACCCGATCGTTCAGCTCCTGATCGTCATCATCGTAGAACTCATCGTCGTAGCGATTGCCGCCGTAGTAGTCCACATCATCGTACTCCTCCAGCGACTCGAGCGAGTCGAGGTGATTGTTGAAGCGATTGGGACGCTGGATGCGATTGCCATTCAGATTGCCGTGGCGATTGCCGTTGCGATTCCCGTTGCGATTGCCATTCCGGATGCCATTGGGATTATTGATGCCATTGGGATTGCCGCGCCTTCTGTTCGGGCGCTGCTGGAGGCGGACGACGATGTCGGGACGCTGGGTGGTGCTGGTGGTGGTTGTGGTGGCGCTGTCGCGAACGGGCGTGTCGACCAGGGCGGGCAGCCCGGGCAGGGCGGGCAGCTGCTGGCCGGCAGCGGCCAGGCGATCGTTGAACCAGCCGGACACGGAGCCGGCCAGCGTCGAGAAGGAGGAGCCCAGTCCCTGGCCCGGATTCATGCCGAACAGCCAAGTGGCTGGCGAGCTGGACGTAGTCGAGCTGGACGACGCCTGCTTGCCCTGCGACTGCGCCTGCATCTCCTCGACGGTGGCCTGGCGCGGCTTGAACGCGATCAGGGGATGGATGATGAAGTCGGCGACGGTGTGCGGCTGGGCGGACTTCTCGTCCGATGGCTCCGCCATGGCAGCCGGCATTTCGCTGCCAGCAGCGGCGGGCGATGCCTCCGCCTGGGCCTGGGCCTGGGCCTGGGCCTGAGACGGAGCCTGGGCCTGGGCTTGGGCTTTGGCTTTGGCTACGGGCGGCTTCTCGGTGGGCTGCTTGGGCACCACGGGCGCATCCTCTGCAGCAGCCGCGCACAACAAAAACAAACACGCGCACGCACACGTACACAGCGAGAGATTGGCACAGAAAAAAAACACATTGGGGAGCACATGAAAAAAATAAGTAAAACACATGACATTAGTTTGTCTCTGCCAGCGGCTCGATCTTCAGCTTGTGAGCCAGAGGGGGTGGGGTGGGGGAGGGTCTGGGGGGGTGTGTCTGTGGCCTACCAATCAGCGCCATATCCGCAATGGGCGACTCCGTGGACTGCTCGATGATCAGCGGGGTCATTTCCTTGTCGGCGGCCTTCACCTCAGCCCCGGCCACGCCGGCGGCGGCGGCGGCGGCGGCGGCCAGGACCAGAACCAGGCCGAGGCGCAGGCACAGCGCCAGAAAGTTGGCCATGTCGACGGACTGACAGCTGAAATCCAATCGAAAACACTCACTCAATCACACAAGCACACACACACGCACACACACTCAATGCAGGCAAACAGAAGCACAGTAATCGTTGATCGTTGATCGTTGATCGTTGATCGTTAATCGATAATCGCTAGTCGCTTATCAGTTTCAGTTATCGTTTATTGCTCGTCTTTAATATGGATCGTTCGCCTCCGTACGTTCCGCTTTGGTCCAGAGACAGACGTTTCTTTGGGCCAACTGTTTGAGCGTGCGCGCCGTCTCGAGCTTTTTATGTACCAGCTACAATTTGAGAGAGCGAGAGCGTGAGACAGCGCGAGAGTGAGAGCGACAAAGCGGCGCGGCAAGAGAGCGCGCGCCGCCTCTTCAGCTCAGCTGGCTGCGGCCGGCCGCTGTGCGCCGTTGCTTTGCCGCTGGCCCGCCGCTGGGCGGTAAATTAATTTGGCGCACGTTGAACCACGTTGACCCAGCGATCGACCCAAGCAGCCAGCAGTAGCCGCCAGAGCACGTCCGTTAAACGTGGAACTAGTTCAATGTTGATTGGATGGCCATAATAGGAATTTTTATTATAGCTTTTTAATTTAATTAAAAATTTATATATTTTGGCAAACGAGTTTTGTTTATCTGAGATCTGCAACAAGATCTGGAATATATGAAGTTGGCTCGTTCTCTGTTTGGCTTTATATCACATACTCCGCCATAGTCTCGGCAACTACTTCAATAATTTCACTCGAAATTTAATAAATATTCATTTGTTTACATTTTCTTAATTTTATTTATTACATTTTTAATTTACTGGGTATTTGCTAGTCCAGCACTCTGTTCGATCTCAGTTAGCTCCTCATTTGTTCGGCCTATTGATATTCTCTAAGCTCATCAGCATAAGTTGGATTTGCATATGCTCAGCCGCTCATAAGAGCTAGTTCAGTGCCAACAGTTCCGGCTGTATAAGTTGAGCTTTTCGACAACACAGAGAACAAAAAGCTCGCGGCTCATGCGCTCAAAGCTCGCTTAATTGAATTGAATTGAATTCGATTCAAAATGGAATAAAGCAATTTGCCTAGTTCAAAGGGAACTAATTCCTTTTTAAGATCGGCCCAAGTGCTGACACCAATTTGTTGTTCCAGTTCACCAGAATCCGGCGTCAAAAACAGATGTCAAACATAATTATAGAACTTTCGAATAACTTTCTAACAGCTTTGACCCCATGATGACCTCTCGCCGAGTCGCAACTTTCATCTAGGGCCGCAGGCAAGAATATACACACACACACACACACACGTGCCTAATGAGTATTTATGCGTTTTTTATGTATTTCCATTAGCATAAGGCTGGCACTTGTTTCTTTTTTTTTTCTCGATTTCAGGTCCAGGTGCACAAGTCCAAGCCCCAGCCTAGGCCCTGCCGACTGTCCGGGCTGCTAATGAACGGCCAGCGTCTTGGCGCGCCTTTGTTTTAATCGATGGACTGAGCTCGCGCTTCTCTTTTGCATAATTTAGTTATTAACAATTGGTTTATGTCCCTCATAATAGGCCAAAGACGATGAATACATATTTTCACCGGAGATAAGCCCAAAGGCTGCCCGGGCCGACGACGGCATGGGCATTATCGACGTGGCTTTTGCGGCGGGGTGGGAAAACAAAATACAAGAGCCACACCAGATAGATGAAATAGATTCGCACATAGACATAAATAAGACGCTGGGCGTCTAGGGGCGTGGCACGAAAGCAGCAAGCAGAATGAAAAGAAAAGAAAAGATAAGAAATGAGAAATAGGCGGAGAAGCAGGAAACCAACTGCGAACGAGCAGATCAGAGCTAAGATCTGTTGAGAATTAATGACTCCAACCAATTTGATCTATGCAATCCGAGTGTGGAGCCCAACATCATATCATTCACCATCAATTGGATTTGGCGAAAACAAAGATCTCAAGCGGCCAAGCCATCTAAGAGCATCAATCGATCTTAGCCAAATTCTGTTTCTGGCCGTTCCATTGTCTTTGCTGAGAATTGATGACGCTCCATAAATCTAAGGCTATAGCATGTCTAAGATCTGCATACAATATATGCTATATATAGCAGCCACATTTCATTATCGAATTTCTACGATTCTTTGGCTTCATCGAAGTTTTCCATATGCGATCTGTGACCTCTACCAATCTTCAATTCCCTAGAGAAAGATTATTTATTTCTTTTGCTTAGCATTCATAAATAAGAAATAAATCCAGCCACTGGCTATGCATCAAGCCAATCCACGCATATTATCAGAGCTGTCAAAATATTTATAAAGTTGATATGTATGGGGAGTGCGAGGAGCAACCCTGAACACAGGTAGAACTACATATATTGTTATGACTTGCATATGACTTGGCACAGATAGGTCTATGAGAAAAGGGAACTTTTAGTATTATTTTCATTATTATTGCATT